TGGTTTGAAGTACTTTATGGGAGGGTTGAGGTGGGGAAAAGGTGGTACCACAACCTGAATGATTAGAAGTGATGGAAAATTTTTCCAGCTTCCCTTCACTTTTCACCCTACTTAACCTTCCCCTGACCTTCTGTTCCCACTTCCTTATGCTCAGGTCCAGGATGAGCTGGGAACAATGGTGCAATATCATTTGGTATAAAAAAAAATGCATTAATAAATGCTAAATTATTGATTTCTCCTCCTTTTTTTCTCTCTCTTGGTATTTCCCCAGCTAGCATTAGACTCAGGAAAGAGAGTCTCATGGACTTGAAAAGTGTTTATGGAAACTGTAATGCTTTTTATAAGAAAGACTTTAGAATGTGTATAGATATTTTTATTATTTAAATTGGACATTAAATTTCCTCAGTATATTGCTTGTGTTTTGTTATTCCTAGCAACTTGGGTCTATAAAAAACTATGTTCTAAATGCCATCAGGTATTGTTTTCCTGAGAAAGTAGTTCAAGAAAGTTCAGACAAAAATTACACTGTTATTGCCTATTGCCTTAATCTAAAAAATTATTTGTATTTCCCATTTCATTGAACATAATGTATGAAACCAGAATTTCTAGAAGACATAGGACACAGATACTATAAAGTCTTAAGGGTAACTATCTATGGAGAAAATCTTGACTAGTTTCTAACATCTGAAATTATAAACAATGTTTCAATATTACAGTGTATCTTGAAATACAAATCACTGAACATTTTGGTCAAAGTAAATAAATAACCTCCTTAGTCTCATGAGCTCCTCCTTATGTCATGAGATAGTAAGTATGCCTGTGGAAACATGTGATGCCAGTAAACTCAGTTTTGAGTAGGTTTATCTTTATCAAACAAGTTTTAAATATTTAAATGAGTCAAGTTTCATAGAAATCAACCCAAGGGGAGAAAAGAAAAAAAAAAGAAAATGCAAACTCACCATGTAATGTAATTGTACAGAATTCCCATGATCCTAGGGTCCCCTTTAGTATTTCAAGATGAAATTTGATTAGTGATATATTTTTTTAAGATTTTATTTATTTATTTGACAGAGAAAGACACAGCCAGAGAGGGAACACAAGCAGGGGAAGTGGGAGAGGGAGAAGCAGACTTCCCGCGGAGCAGGGAGCCCGATGCGGGGCTCGATCCCAGAACCCTGGGATCATGACCTGAGCCAAAGGCAGACGCTTAATGACTGAGCCACCCAGGCGCCTCTTGATTAGTGATATTAAAAGCATGTTTTAGCATCATATATTTTTGTTTTCGCTTCACATACATCATCATCCATTGTTTTCAAAGTTTCTTCTTAGCTAATGTTTATGTACATGTGTTTGGGTGGAAAAAGCAATATATGGCTTTTCCACATTAGTGAATTAACCCTAACGGAACATCACTGGAATTATTTCAAAGGAGTTAGGGTAGGGTGACCCTGGTTTGCCTAGGATGGTCCAATCTTGGCACTGAAAGTCCCATGTTCTGGGAAACTCCTCAGACTGGGCAAACTGGGATAGTTGGTCACTCTAAGAAGATCTTACCTTCAAACATCTCTACCACTAGCCTGTCACAGAGTCTGAAATGGATCCTGAGTACTGTGTTTTCAGGAGTCCCATGTTAAAATGTGAACATACCAAGATACACACATGAATATTGGTTTTCATCACTTTATACTGGGTGTATGTTTATCAGCCATGTGGTTTCCGTTTTAGACAGCAGAGAGTTGAGCCAGACAGAAGAGTAATTATTCATAGTGAGGAGAAAAGGCAAAGAACAATCATTTGCTAAGAACCTACTATGTGCTAAGGAGTTTGATGGGCTCTTAATAGAAATAGTTCAGAAACAAGCCACTGAGCCTCTGGAGAGGGTGTGATACTGGGTTGGAGAGTGGGAAAGATGAAGAGTGAATCCTCTAGAGGAGGAAAGTCATTACTTGCCTGAGTGAGGATACACCTGGGGTCAAACATAGATCTGCTCGTGGGCGCTGCATCTTTCTGACACCGTAACTGTGACCCAGCATTTTAATTTCCAACATGAGTTTTCTCATCACTAGAACTGGGCTATGACACTTTCCTCATCAGATTTTGTGTTTTGTGGAAATTAAATGAAATAATGTGTGTAAAATACTTAGGATAGTGCCTAGCTAAAAAGCAGAATATAAAAAGAAGCTGTTACTTCTGTTGCTGTTATTCTATTTGCTCCTGGGACATGCTGCTCAGAAAACTGGCCTCTGAGTTGGTGATATTCACTATCATTTTCAAGAGCCTATCATTCCTTTGTCTCTGACATGTAGGCTATTTGATGCCTTTGCTGGAAACTGCAGGGCTTACTGTTGCATCTCTGCATATGGGTATACAAATAGGAAAACAAAAACAAAAACACTGCAAAAAGCAATTGGATTTGTTTATAAAGTCATAATCACAGGAGCATTGTTTTTCTTCTATGCTCCATTCTGGGTCCTGTTCCATTAAGGTTCTCTCAGGCATCAATTCATTGCCTCCAATTTTTACCGGTTTTAAGTTACACTGAAAGTGCTATATAAATGCAAAATAATAAAAAAGGAGAACAATTTTGGGCATTTCCATATCTATGCTATCAAAAAGGACTGCAAAAAGTCTTCATTTTCCTCCACGTAGCTCTGCCTGAACGTTATTTATGGTAGTAGTGAAATAGTCAACATGGAGTAAGAATTCATCCAGCTAAGACATCTCAGTTATTCATAGGTGAACCGATGGCCTAAACCAACATTACATTTCACTAGCAACATTCCAGTGATACAGTCACATAAAATTGAATTGTAATGAAATGTAACTTTCCATGTATTCATGAATTTCAAAGGGAAAAAGATAGCATTGCCTCCAATGGGTGTCAATTCGAAGTATGGTTTCCTATTTTTTTATTTAAGTATCTACTAAAGATAGCACAATATCTGTGGCAATAGGAGAACTTCCTTAATCCACTTCATTCCCCAAATAAGTATACATGTGAACACTTGAAACTGATGTTTAAAGTCTTGACATGAATATAAAGAGCAGAAAATCACACATTGTCAAATATGTAAGGTATAGCAAAAAGTAGCTAGTATTATCCCCTCATGTTACAAGTGAGAAATTTGCTTTGAGATTGCATACACAGGTGAGTCACATCTCGGTCTTTTAATTTCAATTCTCTTTCCATTACATCATTTTTTGTTTTGTTTTGTTTTTAAGAAAAATCTCAGCAAATTGTATTGGAATAGGGTTCTAAGGAGAGGGGGGAGAGAGAGGAGTGCCTTCCAAATTGCCAAAAAGTTCCAATTATTTTATTTTATTATTATTATTTGTAGTTTTGATGATTTAAAAATGCTGGCAAAATATAGATATAATCAATATTATCAGGAAGACCATATAAGAGGTTTAGCAAAGTAGCTTTGGAATAGAATCCAAAGTGCCTAACAATTACTTTCTCTTGAATCCTGGTAAAACTTCTAAGGAAATGATATATTACTAATTATTTACCTGGTAACCTATGGGGATACTGAGTTTTTTTTTTTTTTGTTTGTTTGTTTGTTTGTTTTTGTAGAAAATAAGGCAGTAAAAGCAATGGTTAATTAAGCCTTATTTATTTCTGGTTCCTCACCCTATTTAGTTGAGAGTTTCTCAAAGTGAGGTCTCTAGACCACCGGCATCAAATCAGTGCAGTGCTTGTTAAAAATGTAGGTTCCTGGGCTGTCCTTCAAACTTAATGGACTAGAGTCTCTGAGGGATGGGGCTTGAGAATCAGCCTGTTAGTAACTTCCCCAGATGATTCTGAAGTACAGCAATGCTTAAGAACCATATCTAAGTGTTACTCTTTTATGTTTGATTAATGGTTTGATGAAGTAAAAGATGGTCTTATGCATTACTCAGGTCTAGTGGTATTTGAAGAGGTGGCTGTACTAAGTGTTCTTTGCAGGGGATTTTTGGTTCTATTGTTAATATGGAATAAATATTTCATGTTATGTGGCAGCATCTGAAAAGCCTACCAAGAAATTTCTTGGAACACAAAGGTTGAGTCTCTAAAGTGTGGCACTATTGAGGTAGTTCTTTTGCAAAAACCACCGGGATTTGAATAATGGACATGATGTCTGCTCGAATTCTGTAGAATCAATAGGCTTACTTCAGAGATGGAAAAATGATGCCATTGAGCAGGAATTGGCAAATTTATTTTGTAAAAGCCCAGATAAATATTTTAGGCTTTATGGGCTATACTACCTCTGTTGCAACTATTCAACTCCTCTTTTGTCTTGTGAACACAGCCATAGATTTACAGAAATGAATGAACATGGCTGTGTTCCAATAAAACTTCATTTACAAAAGTTTTATTCACTGTCTGTATTTGGCCTGCTCCCTGTCGGAGAACATTTAATGTGTAATTCAATCAATATTTAAAGCCAAAAAAAGAACAATAGCACAAATATATTTTTTTTCAGATTTTATTTATTTATTTGAGGGAGAGAGAGCATGAGTGAGAGAGAGCACGCACGAGCATTCACGAGCAGGGGGAGAGGCAGAGGGAGAGGGAGAAGCAGGCTCCCCGCTGAGCCAGGAGCCCGATGTGGGACTCTATCCCAGGACCCTGGGATCATGACCTGAGCTGAAGGCAGGCGCTTCACCAACTGAGCCACCCAGGCACCCAACAATAGCACAAATATTAAACAAATTTTGATAATCTGTATTTGTATGAGAATATTGATAAAAATAGGTAAAGTAAAAAATATGGATATGGTGTTTCTTTTGTTTTCTGGCCTTATTTGTGATCCACTGGCCTTTTCAGGAGTAATAAAACAGTGCGGTGGCTTCTAAATATAGCCACAAATTGCCCTGTCATCAAGAGGTCAAGTCTGCTTCCACAACTCTTTAAATTGGACCTGTGATTTGCTCTGTCCCACAGAATGCTGCAGAAGTGATAGTGTTCCAGTTCTAACTCTAGGCCTTGAGAAATCTTGAAGCTTCCATTCTTGTTCTAGGAATTATGATGGAGAATGAAAATCCATGTGGAAAGGGGGCCCCAGTTGTCTCTGCCACCTCAGTTGAGGCTCATACCTGTGAGTGAACCCAGATAGGAATAGGTAAGCCCACCTAGATTACCAAGTCACAGAATGCTGAGTTAAATCATGGTTTTTGTTTTAAACTACTACCTTTTAGTATGTTTTATTATGCAGCAGCAGATAACAGATACAAATAGGAACAAGGTCATGAGCAGAGTGTGAAGCGGGGGAGGATGTGTTTAAAATTTAAGGAGAAGTATGAAATGCAGAAGGTATACCTATGTGTCCTAGGGAAATATAATAGGGCTGCTGGAGAGTACTAGAAATTCATTTGAGGAGAATGAACTCAAAGTAGTTTACAGTAAGGTCTATCAGAATGGTTATGTGTTTTTTGCAGTAATAGTCCAGCAGTGCAGGTGCAGGCGATAAGTGGAGTGTGTGTGTGTGGGTGTTTTAGCAGATGAGCATGATGAAAAGAGAGAGAGGAAAGTGAGATATGGGTTTCTGCAAGGGAGGGATTCTAATAATGAACTGGGTACAGAGGAAAGTGAGGATAGAGTGACTGTGAAGCACCTTGGATTGTTGGACCCTTTGGAGTGGGAACAAAGAACTGTTGGAAGACTCCTAGAAGGAATGAGCTGGAAAGAGAGCAGCTGGTTGCCAGAGAGTGCTATAGTTGAAATTAAAACTATGGAGGGTGGGGGATGTTAGTTTTGCCAGGAGCCAATTTGGTCCAACTGAACCACCTTACCCAGATTGCCTTCCAGTGTGTTTGTATTTAGGGAGGGTGGAAGCAGAGCAGCGGCCCTTTTATTTTTTGGTCAAGAATGGAGTGGGTGCTTTTGTTGCTGCCTGTTTGCTGGCTTATCTCATTGCTGTGGGGCAGTGTCCAGAAACTGCCAACACAGCACCCCTGGATCCTCCTTCAGCTTCTCCAGCCCCTGGGTCAGGTATGTGTTTCACTCCCTCATGAAGGGCGTCAGTGTCTCCAGCAGAATGCCCAATGTAAGTTTGGAGGAGATGAGAGTCTGACACAGCTTCTGGTCTGTCCTTATGGGTTCTAATTTGTTTTTCTCCATTTTATATTCAGCTTCCTTTTTAACTGCCTGCCCTGTGGACTTCAGGTTCTAGCATTGGACATGAAGATAACAGCCTAACTGAAGGTCAGTACCCAGCTCCCAATTCTGTTTGACTTATCAAATTTTCAGTGGTTCTGCTTCTCTGGTTGAGGTAGAGGGGGTACAGTTTGTTTTTGGTATTGATAAGCTCTAGGGTATGAACATGTGAGTGCATGTCCTTGGAAAAGAGAGATCCAGGAACTGAAATAATCTTTGTGGATATTGAACTCAAGAATTAGGATAAAAATATTGGAAAGAATGATATGGAGCCCAGAAGCCAAAATCCCCAAGGACTGAGCAGGCCTCAAGGAGAGATCCTGTCTATAACCGCTAAAAGGAGGTAGAACAGGTAGTACCATCTGATGGCATAAACCCTCAAGGTGAGGGCTGAGTGAGCAGTTGTCAGTGGTGTAGACTGCACACAAACTTAGACTGGTACGGTGTATATGGAAGAGGAAGCATGTGGCTAAGTCTTGCAGAGAGTCCCTTTCCTCTCTCAGTGGACCCAGCACTTTTCTGGCCGGATTGTATGGAGACCGTAATTGTTAGTCTGGTGACCGGAGGGGAATTTAGAATTAACTCCTAGGGTAAGGTGAATCTAGACAATAGAGGGTGAAGGAGGAGGAGTATCAGGTACAGCCCTGAGACCAGCTGAATCCAATGACTGGTGGATGCAGGCATATTGCTTCAAGGGGGGTGGGGGAATATTTACAGATTATCTATCCCAGCCTCTGAGCTCCCTGGAAGGTTAGTCAAGCCCTCTGTGCTATCCTGTTTCCCTGTTCCTTACAGGTGCTGATCCTGAGAGCCCTCCCCAGTAAACCTTCTGCATGCACATCTGTTTCTTAGAAACCAACTAGTTATCCTCTTGTTGAAATATTGCGTTGTCTTTGCTTTGGGGATCCCATGTTCTCTTAAGTCTTGCCCTGACTCACTAGCTTCTCAGAGTAATTTTTAGTTTTTTCCCTGATCTCTCGGACTTGTAAACATTAGATCTTTTCTTTTTCCCTACGCTTATTTGAAGTGATCTCATCCTGACTCATGGTTTTCAGTAAAAAAAAAAAAAAAAAAAAAAAAAAAAAAAAAAAATATATATATATATATATATATATATATATATATATATATATATATATATATAAAAGGGACTGAAAAAGCTTGGATTGCTATGTCAAGGCTAGGAGCCTACTTAGGAGGTTAACCGTCATGAATTTAAAATGAGATCAGTTGGCAAGGCTATGTATTTTTTTTCCCCCAGCCATAGTCAGTTGTTTGATCATACATAGGCATTCATTTACTTATTCATTCATTCAGTAAATACTTGTCTAGTTTCTTCTTTGTGTCAGGCATTGATCTAGGAGGAGACAGCGAGACCAAATTAGGCCAAAACCCTTGGTCTTGTGGAATTTATTTTCTGGTAGACAAGATCCATTACTCAAAGGCCCTCAATGGCTAGTGGGGGTTACACTAAAATTCTTTGAGCCTTAGTTTCTTAAACTGTTGATTGGAGAGAATTGCTGTTTTGCAGGTGTGCTGGGAAGATTAAATGAGATATAAAGTGCTTAGAATCCTACATATGGTAGTTCAAGTCAAAGTTCTTTTTAAGCAATATCTTAGCTCTGACCCTGTTACAGCTTCAGAAAGATTTAGTTGCCTCTTACAACTCTGAATTGGGATTTCAAATGTCCTTTAACCCATGATATTTATTTCACAGCAATAATAAAGATGAGTTCATTCTATCAATAAATATTTAATGAGTCCTTTGTGCTGGGCACACAGGAACATAGTGCGATTTTTCATGCTCTCTCTTGTGGCAGGTGGACTGACTAGTAAATATGCTTTCTACCTTACAGCATGTTAAAAGAGCAGCATTCTGGACATCTGATGATTCTTTTTCCTGTAACTGTCCTTGAATAGACAGTTAGGTTGAAAGAGGTTTCTTTTCCTGACTCTGGAATTTATACAATCTGTACTCCAAATCTTCGCTTTACCCTAATCCTCTCCTCAACATCCAGAGCCTAAAATCTTAGTATCCCTTCCCTCTTGAATGAAATACAATTTCAAATAGGTTTCACTGTGGTTTTTAAATTTCTGTGGGTGTCTTAAAAAACTAGCATTTTGTCATCCTAGTTTGTCAACAAACCTAACCTGCTTTGGGGTTAATCGCTTTTATTTTTGTGTCTATTTCCTCCTCCTGGCTTCCTTTTGGGGATTAATTCTCCATGGTAGTTCTCCATTCTTTTTCATGCCCTATGATCCCTCCCTTTGTTCCCTGGTTCTTGTCCTTCTGACTCCCCAGTGCTGTTTCTCCCTCTCTCTACACTTTCTTTTCTACTGGGTTGGTTTCCCAAACCCATCTGTTTTCCAGCCAGATTTCTGTCTTCTACTCTGAATATCCAGCTCATTCTTGCTCATACTCTTCACCTGCCCCTGGCCACCTCCCCTTCTTTTCTTTCCTCTGTCCACCCTCCCTCTCTGTCCCTCTTTTAATTACTGCTTTTAATTAGGGCTACTGTATTGCAGGTGGATAGGAAAGTATGAAACATGGACACAAAGGAGCCTCGGGTTTTTATGCTTCCAAGCTTTATTCTTTTATTTATCTTTGTCCTTTGGCTCTGAAGAGTCTGTTTCTACTTCTATTTCCCAGGGGGTGTGGATATCCACCTTCTACTCCCTTTGCTCTGTGGAAAGGATCTTTGCTAAAGTCCCCAAAGACTTCTTTATTGCCAGAGGTAAAGGTCATTCCTCCTGAAGATCATGCCACATTTTCAGTAGTTCTTCCAGTATCCTCTTAATCTATGTGCTGTCCTCCTTTTTACCTCGTTTCTTCCTGCCTTGACCCAAACTGTAATTTGAATACTGACAACACCCTTGAGCTATAGGTCAGGATTTCCATCTTTATTAACATTCCTGTTTGAAAATGGTATGATTTCCTTTTGGTTTGGACTGAATTGCTTCTATATGTTAGTCTTTAGGCTTTGTATTAATCAGTGAGACAACATAATGCATGTGGCTTGAAGTCTGCAGGACATTTTGCTGCTTTTTGTGATATTTTTATGTTGAGTTTGTAATTTATTTCACAGCAAAACACATGGCAGTGTTAGCTTTTAGGACAGGGCGGGGGTGGGGGGGCTGGGTGTGAGCAGAGAAGGAATTGAATGAAATATTCTTTTTTAAATTTTAAAGATTTTATTTATTTATTTGAGAGAGAGAGAGAATGAGAGAGAGAACACGAGAGGGGGGAGGGTCAGAGGGAGAAGCAGACTCCCCGCTGAACAGGGAGCCCAATGTGGGGCTCGATCCTGGGACTCCGGGATCGTGACCTGAGCCGAAGGCAGTCGCTTAACCAACTGAGCCACCCAGGCGCCCCTGAATGAAATATTCTCTTGATTTTTCTTCTGTCTGATAATCTGGTTCTACTCCTACCCCCCATCCCCAGGAGACTAGAAAACAAGGAAAAGGGAAAAGAAATAGATGGCTAGGCAAGCAGCTGTAGGAGTTTTTCAATTGCTCAAATGAAGGGGATAAATAGATTATAAACAGCTACTGCACATTTTCCTGCCCAATGTGCTACCTCAGTCCCTTACAAGGTTTCTTTTAGTGCTGGTCTCTTCTGAGGGCTTGTTGGCCCACAAACCACCATCTTTTATGGAACAAACATGGTCTATAGTCTTTCAGTGAGATTAGGGACAAAAATTTAGAGTTTTACTTACTAGCTACATAGATGAAAAATAGATTTTATAATGTCTGATTGGCTAATCATTTGCTCTGTTAGGTAATTGGAAACAGCTGGGATAGCTTCAAGGCAGTCGTATACCTTCTTTATAAAAGTCAGATGAGATGTGCAGTGTAAGAGTCCCTAGAAAGTAGGTTTACAATACAGAAGGGAAGGGACTGTGTATAAATATCTTTCTTAGCATTGTGAGATTTATGACAGCTGACAGGAGATTGTCAATTCTTAGATTTGAGCTGTAGAATTTAAATATTGAGATTTTTGACTATTCAATAATAGGATAAGCCAACATTTTTTTTTTAAAGATTTTTTTTACTTATTTATTTGAGAGACAGAGAGAGAGAGCGCACATGAGAGGGGGGAGGGTCAGAGGGAGAAGCAAACTCCCTGCTGAGCAGGGAGCCCAATGCGGGACTCGATCCCGGGACTCCAGGATCATGACCTGAGCCGAAGGCAGTCGCTTAACCAACTGAGCCACCCAGGAGCCTAAGGATAAGCCAACATTTAACCACAGCAATGAGGCAGGGAAGAGCTTAAAACAATCATTAGCTTTAGTTTGGGTCAGGGGTTGGCAAACTTGTTTTCCAGCGGGATAAGCCAGACTCCCCGCTGAGCAGGGAGCCCGATGCGGGGCTCGATCCTGGGACTCCAGGATCATGACCTGAGCCGAAGGCAGTCTAAATCTAAATATTTAATATATTTAATAAATCTAAATATTTAAGCCAGTAAATATTTAAGGCTTTGCAGATCACACAGCCTCTGTTGCAACTACTTACACAACATGTACATTAGTGGAGTTCTTGGTGCATAGTAAATTTCAGATTTTATCATTAGTATTCTGGTGGCAGCTAATAAAGGGAAACTACTTGGTTTAAAAATTAAAAGCCTTCTTAGGGAACTTCTTGATGTACAGCTTCTAAATGTGTTGAAAGCCACCTAAATGAATGGGCTGCTCTCTTCAAATTTAGGATTTCCGGGGCGCCTGGGTGGCTCAGTCGTTAAGCGTCTGCCTTCGGCTCAGGTCATGATCCTGGAGTCCCAGGATCGAGTCCCGCAACGGGCTCCCCGCTCAGCAGGGGGTCTGCTTCTCCCTCTGACCCTCCCCCCTCTCATGTGCTCTCTCTCTCTCATTCTCTCTGTCTCAAATAAATAAATAAAATCTTTAAAATATATATATAAAAATAAAAACTGAGTTAGGCAGTAATTAGAATCTTTTGTTGGCTACATTATTCATTTTGTGGTAATAAAGATGATCCAGCTACTTGGTTTACATTTAGAAATTATATTATTGGGAAATGGTTGTAGCATGTAC